ATATTTCTACTTCTGGAGCTACAACTCATTCCTGTCACTATTGTCTGAAGATTCTTGAGAATCTTCTAGGAGCAGCAGTTGCTCAGTGTTCTAGGCTAGAGCTGTGAGTATTATCTCTAGCTCCAGTTCCATCTACCATAAAATTACCTGCATCTCATATGTTTGTCTTCAATTTATCCAACAAATATTTGAAAAGTGATCACTGTGGTCTATGTGATATGAAAGGCAGCAAGTATAGAAAAATTTATTTTAGAAGTTATCTGTGAGGGAGAAGGAGAAAGTCACATGTAAAGGAGAGCTAGAATTGAAGGAAGGCTATTCTTTTTTTCCTTTAATTTTAATCCATTAAAGATTAACATGTTTATATACTGATACCCACCTGAGAAGAATTTAATAAAATATATTAGAACAGGACAATTGACGTGCAATGCCCTTTTTAGGAGGTGGGAGGAAAGAGGATCCCAAGCATAAATGAATGGGATTGTCTTTGAATTGATGCAGGGATCGTTAGGGAAACAGATTATGTGCAAATAAATTGGTAAAACAGTAAACAGGAAATTGAATGATAGCTTTCTTTTCATAGAGGGCATTGAAATTTGCTGACTGAGAATGATAGGTGGAAGTGGTAGTTTCATAATTCCTGGAGAATAGCAAAAGTTTAAATTAAGTACCTTAGGGAATGTGAAAAGACGAGACCAGTAGGATTTCCCATAAATGTTGTAAGAACTGGTGAATCAAAGAATTGGCCTGCACTGGAGAAAATGGAAGGGTCAAGAAACTGGAGGTTTTATTGGGGTCAAGAAACAGGTGGTCTGGGAGTAGGAACTGTGAAAAGATGAAAGATTGAGGTCAGAGATAAGGATCATGGAGATCTTGGAGATGTCTGAATTGGAGCAGTTTTTAGATAATGAGAAGGTCCAAGTGTGGTCACAAGGACTGGGGCTCAGGATGGTAGAGAAGCCCAGTTTGCTGGTGGTGAGGAAGCCAAGGACACTCTGGGGCCATCGTGGGTGATAGCAAGGCATTGGGTGTCAGAGGAATCACCCCCAGGGATTGGCAATGTAAGTGTTCAGTCAGATAGTATTAGCCCCCAAGAAAATGGAATTTTAGATGATAATGGAGATAAATGATATGGAAATAGGAATGGGAAGTTAAGATACACCAGAGTTCAAATCTAAGCTATAGGATGATGGTCAACTTAAAGAATTTTCCTAAACCTCAGCTCTCTGATCAATAAAGAGGGGATACCTCAAATGGTTATTAGTGAGGATTAAATAAATAATAATTATATTAAGTGTTTAGCACAGTGCCTGGCTCAAGAATTTAACCGTTATTTAACATTACGGGACTATTAGGGGTCTTTGTGAAAAGGTTGTTGTAAGAATGGGTGAGAAGGATGGTTCACAGAGCAGGTTTGGAATGAAAATGGGAGGAAATGTGAGCAACCTGAGAAGTTTGCATTTTGAATGGAATTTTTTTTACTTGTGTCTTACCTAATCCTTTCTTTCAGTAGCCTTGGATTTGTCTTGTTTGTGGTTTCTTTACTCCCCGCTCCCCGCCCCAAGCTCCTGTCATCAATTCAGCGTATATTTACTGTAACCAAGTACTCCACAAACCTATTTTTAAATTTAGGTTTTATTTGGGGGGGTTCCTTGTCTTTCATGACCTTGATCTTTTGAAAAATCCTGGTTAGTAATTTTGTAGAATGCTTTCAATTTGAGTTTGATTTTTTTTTTTTTTTCCTCTTGTGATTAGCTTGAAGTATATTTTTGGCAGTATTCATAGATATGAATACCACAAAGATGATAAACACTTCTTAGTATATCATACCAGGGGGCATGTGGTATCAGTATGTCCTATGATTGATGGCGTTAGCCTGGACCATTTTGTTAAAGTAGTGTCTGCTGGGTTTCTCTGCTATTTTTCCCTTTGTAATCAAACAAAACAGGATATTTGCAGTCTCAAAATATGTCCTTCATTCATTTTATTCTTTGGGTTATAATCTAATATTATTAATTGGTTTCTCAAATTTTTCTAGTTTGGCCATTTATAGCTCTTGCAGGCTGGCTTTTGTGTCCTTTTGATATCTTTTCCTTTTTCTTTTCTTTTCTTTTCTTTTTTTTGGAATACTTTTTCTTATTTTCTGGTATCAGATCAATTTGGTCTTTTTAACTCAGGTCTTTTTTGATGACCTACATATGTTCCTTTATATTGAATTAAAAAAATTTTTTTTCGCAGTATTTATTCTCTGCAACTCTAAAATCTATCCCTAGTGCCAGTCAAACTAGCGCAGTAAACACAGTGATTCAATTTAGGTATAGGTTTTAATTAGAAAGTAATCGACCAAAGGAAAATTATATTTTGATATTACAGCTTCTAATTTCTCCTGGCAGAACTGTGTCTAAACGTGTACAGACGGTCTCTTACTTACCATGGTTTGACTTAACAACTTTTCAACTTTAGAATGTTGAGAAAGTGAAACAGTCAGTAGAAACTGTACTTTGAATTTTGATCTTTTCCTAGGCTAGCTGCAATATGCTACTTTCTTGTGATGCTGGGTGGCCACAGCTAGCTGCCAGCTCCCAGTCAGCCAGGTAATCATGAGGGTAAACAACTGATACTCTATAATATACCATGTTGCCTGTGTTTTTTGGATATTGTGTTTTGTGTTTTCTCATCCCATCATGTCTACAGAATGCCCATGTGTGTATAATATTCAACACTTTATTATAAAATAGGGTTTGTGTTAGATGATATTGCCCAATTGTAGGCTAATGTAAGCGTTCTGAACATTTACTAAATTTCAGGTAAGCTAGGCTAAGCTACTGATGTTCGATCGGTTAGGTGTATTAAATGCATTTTCAACTTAAGATTATTTTCAATTTATGATGGCTTTATTAGGCTATAACCACATTGTAAGTTGAGGAGCATGTGTATATGAAGGTAATGCTATAAATGAAGTAATTCATAAGGTATGATGCTAATGTATTAATAGAACTTTAACATTAGAAACAATAGTAGGCTCCTCAGACACTAAAGTTTTGATTTGGTGACTAATAATTTTTTTGAATGAGATATATTCGGCCCAAAAGCCAACTGATAAGATTTTTTCATATATCCACTGAAATTTTAGCCTCATTGAAATTACTCGTCATGACTTTTATAATTATGTCTTCTGTGTGTTTTCTGTTCAATATTTTATCTATAGTAGGTATTTAATGAACACATATATCAATATGTTGATATATTAAAGTAAACTATTTTAGGGCTGTTTTAAAATCTGTAGCTGTGGTATTATTTTGTGTCTATACAGTGTACCTAAATTTCAGAAATGAAGTACAACTGTTGGTAAAGCTTAAAAAAAAACAAACACAGTGTAACCATAATTTATAGAATAGTTGGATTCTTGTAAAATTCAATGTATATTAAAACCATGAGATACAAAGTATTATGTAACAAGTTACACACTAATTCCATTTTACATTTTAATTCCATTGAGTTAGAGTCTAGGCTTAGATAATTATGATTCCTTCTCTCTCTGTTTTTTTCTTTTTTCTTTAGATGTGTAACTCTGTGGGGCACAAGACAGTTTTTGTTGTGTAAGACTAACTGTGGAATGTATAGCATATCTTACTCCTGTAAATGCTGGTAGCATCACCTCAGTCATTTTAACAACCAAAATGCCTCCAGAAATTTCCAAAATTTCCAGGATGCTTCCAGGTGTTTTTAAGCCACTGAGAATCACTAGCTTAGAGAAAAACATGAACTGAAACAAACCATTATTCGAATAATAGATTGTTTCTAACTAGAATGGCAAGAGTGACGTTACTAATTACTACATTTTATTGGAGTGTCAAATGGAACACCTTCTGAGAACTTAAATATTTCTATCAAGGTAAAATGAAGGGAATTTTGATTTTTAAGTGCTTGAAGGGTTTGGTAGCCAAAAACTGTGTCAGCTAAAGGCATAAACTATGGTTATCTGATGACTGTAGCACCCTTATGAAACTTGGAAGAAATTGAACTTGCTCTGTTCCATTGGTAATCCAAAGTCCTGATTTTTATGGGTCCATTCTGAGTAGATATGTAGTTTATATACATTCCGAGTAGATATGTGGTTTACATACATTCAGGTGTTTTACTCTGCCTATCACAAAAACCCCTAGGACTAAGATCAGGAGGAAATGCATTTGAACTGCCCTTCTCCATCCGCCATTTCTGTCTGACTGCAGGCTCCCTGTCCTTTGCCAGAACAGCATCTTATGTGAACAACTTAACTGATAGCAATTCTTGTATTTATATGGACATACTTGTATTTTTAGCTGAAATTGGGCCTGTAGCAAGATCTAGGATACTTAAACCCTTATTTTGGTTGGTGCTGTTGAGAAATGTTAGATTTTTAGGTGGCACTTGTTTTTATGAGTGTAACTTTTATGTGAGTTAGAACATTCGATAAATAAACTGGTTAATGTTTTTAATAGGGATGGGGAAAAGACAAAACTGTAGAATGCTTTGTCTTTTGCTAGGATCAGTATTAGATATTTGATGATATGTGCTTATAGCTATGAGAATCTAGAAAGTGGTTGGTTCATTTACTTTTTAATTTTTATGGTACATGGAGCAGCTCTTTCAAAGTGGTACAAGAAAGCGTCACATACAGCTGTTGTAAAAATAAATATATTGAAATTGTGAATCCTAATGACCTTATGAATGGCAGAAATTTGCAACTGTCAAATACCTATTGTGATGTGAATATAATTTTACTAACCTGCTGTGAATTTAAAAAGTAAGTGTTTTACGTATTAAAATGATCTAGAATACTTTTTTCTGTCTCTCCAGCTCTTTTCTCTTTTCTTCCTCCAGGCAGAACTACACGTAAATCATTCCAAAACAATTAATGCTGCTCTAGTCACAAATTATTGATTTTTCTGTTCATAGTGTATGTAGAATTGCTGCTCTACTGAGATTCTAAAATGAGGCGTTTTAATTGTGTTTTCCAGGAAGATATGAATTTAAATGAAGATAAAAAGGCACCATTGCGGGAAAAGGACTTCAGTATCAAAAAAGAAATGGTGATGCAGTACATAAATACTGCTTCTAAGACAGTAAGTAAAACTGTCAAGTTGAAAAATAGAGCTGAAACATGTTGTAGTATGGAAAACAATGCATTTGTCTAACGAAGTGCTTAAGTTTGTGTGCAACCGTAATCAGAGGGCTTTTGAATTTATAATTAAGAGCATGAGTATTATAATAAATTATTTAATTTAAAAATATTTCTCATCTTATAACTTCTAAACTACTTTTGTTTTTTTAGCCAGTTACATTGCTAAGAAACACTGTGGTGGGTCTACACTAAGACACTTTTCCTCATTACCAAATTAAGATGGTTATTGATTGCTAATGTTATTTATAAACAGGGATAATATTTGTATTATAGAAAAGTGAGAATGATTTTATTCTAACTACCTAAATCACATACATAATAGTGGCTTAGAGGCATATCTTTAATGTGAGTTTCCCTATGGATAAAATTATCTTGTAACAAATTATAAATATAGGTATTGAAAGGAGCCTAAAGCCTCCACATGGCTGCCAATTTTCCCGGGGAACATAAAATGTGTGGGTGGAAGTAATGACTAAATGTTTAAGAAACCATGACTGGCACACAGAATCAATTGCATTTATTTCATGGAACAACAAATGAGCTTGGCTAATAATATACAAATTGTGAATAAATGGATTGGATGAAGACTATAAAATGGAAGCCAATGAAGAAGCAATCAGTAGAACAACAGTAGAAAATGATTTTGGCTGAATTTAAAATGGAATTGGATTAGAAAAGTAGCTTAACACACTAGTTTTCATTGTATACTTTAACCTAAGGCCAGGTTACAAGAACATAAGTTATTTATATTTTAACTCCATTTACCTACTAGACCAGTCAGTGACTCTGAGGTATTTCTTTTGGAAGAAAAACTCAAATGATGTTTAATTTTTAAACATGTCTCATGTTTTGGCAGCTTGATTTCAGGTCTGGAACTCACTGTGTGTACTGTGCCTTTTCTAGCTCCTTATATAGATGGGCTCTGGATCCTGCTATTGTGACATCGATACTAATTGCTTTTGTCCGTCAGTGATACTTAGCTATCACAAATTGGCATTGGGGATTTAGGAATCAGAGCTCTGGTGTTTTCAATCTGCTTATTTATCCTCTGTTTGACCTTGGGTGTCTTCTTTTACCTTTGTGATTCTTATTTTCCTCATCTATAAAATGGGAATACCTACATCATGGACTTATTATCAGTATCAAATTGTTTATTCCACAATTAGAACATAACATTTTACAATGGATGGCTGCCTTCTGTAGTAGCAGTGGTGGTGGTAGTAATTGTTTATTTTGCTTTGTGATTTGTTCATTATACCTTAATTGAAAATATAGGAAGAAGTATATTAGTGAAAATACAAATTTGCTATTTGTGAGTCCACATTTCTAAGGCATTTATTTGTTCATTCAACACATGTTTATTAAGTGCCTATATGTCAGGCAGTATTTTAGGCACTGACCATGGGGGCACCAAGATGGTTTATCAGTGTGTCTTGTAGAGCAGCATTGGACACATAATAGAAACACACAAACACATGTAGAGGAGGTGAAATGTGATGTGGGGAAAAAAAAAAGCAATTTTTTTTGTCTTTGTAAATGTTTTGTATAGTCAGTGACGACTATCCTGTTGGGGAGTTTTAAATCTAACAAGCACGAATTCATTTACTGTAGTTACAAGAGATGCTACATCAGTTAGAACTGGTTTAGAAAACCTTGGCATAATAGTGCATTTTAATTCTTGAATTTGAGATAATAAATAGACTTTTAAGAGTCAAGCTAACCATTTCGAACTTTGTTATAGTGGCACTATTTGAGTTTGCATTCACTAATTTTTAACTTTAATCATTTTGGACTAAGATTGGAATTTGTTTATCAGAATTAGGTAATTAAATTATCAGGATTGAAATAGATTAGTTATCTAAAGTGTGATTACAGCATTGACTCATTTAATTAGTGTGTGGAGGATCGTGGCTGTTCCTAGGAAGGTTCTGAATAATTTGGCAGATGGTTAACATTATGGAAAGTTCAAGCTGACCAGTCATTTATTTTCGTGCTGAAAGTAGAAACACATTTTATTAACTCCAGGGTACAGACTTTGTCATGCCACTTTATTTATGTCAGTGGCTATTGAAAAAGTTACTCTGAGAAAAACAGAATAAAATTTCATAGATTGGTTGTTCTAGAGAGAATATGAAAAGGATAGAGGATAGAAAAGATACACTTTTATGACTTTAGGATTAGAATTTGCTTTGAGGTTCTCTTCTGTGTATAAACACTAATATTATATTTTGGAAAGTAGTACTGATTCCTACAGTTTATGGTTTGAAAATGCTTTAGAAACATTATTCCTCAAAGTAGGCCTAAAGTAGGTAAGGTCGGTTTTTAGAATATTTAAAAAAAAAAAAATATCATCAATCAGACTAGGTTATTTTCAAGACCTTAGTAAGTTTGGGTTTTGGTGGCCAAAGAAAAAAAAACTGAAGTTATGCAGTTAGGAAGGATTATTATAATTTTATTAAGAAAGTATCATATTTAGAGGCTGAAAATACCAGATATGCATTTTTTTTAAACTTTTTAGGGGAATGGGTATGTGATCCAGGTTTGTGCAGTATAATCTAGTGGGCATATCTGCTGGGGGGATTCTGAGAAAGGTTTTTCTCCTTTATGAAAGGATCTTGTGCAGGAGAGCCACTTTTTTCTGCCGTTGGATACAATTGTGAGAGGTTATGGGATGCTTGACATCATGGTGCTGCTGCTCTGGCTTAATGCAGTCCTGTCTCCAGACTCTTCATTATATGAGGTGATGCATGTTCTTACTGAAGCTGCTTCAGGCTTTTTCTTTGCTGCTATAAGCATCCTGGTATAACATCCACATATGTTTTTGCCTATTTTGTATCTCTCTAATTCACTCTGGAAATTACTGTTTCCATTCAAAGGAACGTCTTAGGACCTTCCCGTCACCGGTATATGCTCACTCAGAGCATAGATGAGAGAGGTGGTACAAGGCCCTATGATCATACCCTGGCAAATTACTCAACTCAGATGTTTAGTAGAAAGTTTATTGGAGAAAACATCTTTCAGAAAGAATCAAGACTTAACTTTTGTTTGATTACACACCTGGAGGGTGAGATTATGGTGCAGTTACTGTAAGGACCTTCAAGGTAGGATGTGCTATGAGAAGCAAAATGGAAGAGGATCCATAGTTCCCAAACAATACTAGAAGAACATTCTGGACTACAACAGAGCATGGTCTCTTAAGCCACAACTGTCTAAGGATTTTCACTATTTTATAAATAGAAGGGAATTAAAATTTAAATATACAAATCTATATACATGTCTTTAATATTAACACTTAACCTGACCTTGAGTATTGTTCTCATTCTTTATTGTGGTTTAATTATTTTTAATCCTTATCTTCTTTTAAAATGCTTAAAGCACTCAGATATTGTTAAAAGATGATTTTTTGTAGTCAAGATTCTTGTGTTTGAGTGGACAAACCAAGCTCAGGAGATATATCCTAATAGAGTTGTTTCCTTTTTCCCCTTTTCTTTTTGGGATGAATGCATCATATCCTAGGTCTGTGATACCAGTGTTTATGTTGGTACTTATTTTCTTGTGTGCACTTGAGTTGTATTCAGGGTGAGCTGTCTCTGGGTATATCTGGATAATGTGATAAAGTCTCTCATAATGGGGTTGATGGGAGACCATGGATTAATTTATGCACAATTAAAGAATGTATTAAAGAGGATTCCTGTTCAGAATAGGATTTAGATCACTAAGATACTTCCCCCCCCCATCACAAAGGATTAGTAAAAATAAAAAGTACGTTATACCTTTCCTATCTGTCAAGAGGAAGGAGTCTTCTATTATATTTGCTGTTCTGCTTTTAGGTTTCTTAAGGTAAGCTGTGGCAATAAAAACTAGAGAAGTCCTGAGAGGCCATACCCTGTATCCCTGAAAAGTGGAAGCAAACCCTTGAAAGGAGCAGAAGATGTTTGAAAGAGGAAGAGGCTCAGAAGGGGAAGAGGGAGTGAGGCGGGAGAATCAGGAAGGCCAAGTTTGAGAGACAGGAAAGGAGGACTAGAAAGAGGTCTGGTTGTCTGTGGGGACGTGGGGTTTCTGGGAGATAGTGAGAGAAGTATAAAGAGATTTTGAGGGAAATTCTATTTCATGCTATGTAGTGTAACAGATTTATTATATCTCTGAGAACCCCTCAGCAGAGATGAGCATTTGCTTGTCAGTGCTTTAGTAGTTCTCTTTTCCCCCCAATTTATTTTTGTTGATCAAGATGATGCAACGGTCCAAACAGTTTACTTACATTCAGATTATAACTGGTCTGTTATATGTTGGCATTTTTTGGCTGTACCATTAGATGTGTATAAAATGCTTTAAAAATTTCTCTTCGAAATTTCTACTTCTAGTTACAAGCCCTTCTGGATACAGTAGCTTGGAATCAGAGGTTGTTAAAAGGCTGCCCAGCTCCCCTCATGTATGTGTCATTGGCATCTGTATTATAGCTGCAATAACACGCTTATTTTAGGTGGGCCGGTATCTGACAAGGACGACCTAATCTTGTATTTATTTCTAAGAGTCTTAATTAGAACATCTATCCTTTGTTTTCTATTTATTTTTAGTTTCTTCCCTTTTGATTTTTTTCCAGGGGAAGAAACAGAACTCTTCTTTTATAAGTGCTTAGACAAGTTCGCTAGCTCCTCTGACTTTTTCAATTTTTTTCTTTCCTAGTCAAGCTGGTTTCTCAGTGAATGTGAGGGCTTTTCTGAGGCATTTATTGAAAAAGTTTGGGTAAAGTTTAACTTTATTGTTTGAACCTTTCCTTAAGTATTGTTGTAGTTCTTGCCCAGACTTTTTAAATAAGAAAGTTAAATATCAAGTATTAGAGGACATAACTTTGAAAGGTACATAGAAAGACTGTAACAAAAGTTAATAGTCTTTTTTAATATTCAAAAGACTATAACAACAGTATGTTGAAATGACTGAGTC